CCTGAGGAACTCCTGAAGAAACTTTAATGATGTTGGAAGAACAATTATTAACAATAACTCTTTGTGTTCTATCAGAGAGGTAAGATGAGATCCATTGAAGGAGACTGGGCTGAAAGCCGATTAGGTCGAGTTTACGGATGATGCGGATTGTGGCTAGACTTTCGTCCACTAGAGTGAACGCCGGTCTCTCTCCCACCACAAATCCAACACCGAATTGCACTCCTTTACGTGGCAACTGTAGTAGACGTCGCAAGGCTCCACGCTTACCTTCCTCGCCCCGTCCATCGCATTTCATGGATGGCGGTGATGTCAGCCTTTATTTTCCCTAGGACATCAACCAGCCGGGCAGAGGCACCATCCCGATTAAGGGTTCGGATATTTCAAGTGCATACCCTAAAATCAGAGTCCTTCCTATGTTTGCCGTGATCGTCATCAAAAGAAGGGGGTATCATCCGAGGCATGTGTTTTTTTTTTTCATTGGGCAGGGTTTTAACGTAGGTGTTCTGTGCAATATTTAAAAAAAAAAATCAACAAACTTTCGTACAAATTTCGATCTTTTTCAAAAATTCTAAAAAATAAATCGTAGTTTTTAGCCATTTGAAACTTGTACTTTATTGTATTTACTAGAAATCAATGGGCTACAAACTGCTTACTCAGAATCTAATTAAAACACTCGAAGTTTTTACGAGAATTTGTTGAATTATTTTTTTTTAATTGCACACATTTTTAAGGCAGTGGCACTCGATTGGTCCATTTGTACAGATTGGTACATTTTTATATCCGGCTATTGGTACAAAACAAAAAAAGGAATTTTTTTTTTGTAGTCAAAATTGTTTCTTAAAGGATTTTTGGAAAAAGTCCCCTCTGATGACAGAACAGTTAAAGCTTAAAAAATCTACACTGACGGAACAAAGTATTGGCACAGCAAATTTTTCGCAATATATGCAACAAAATTTTATTCTAAGATTTTTCCGCTGATTTCGTATAAAAATAGGGTCCATTCTACAACAAAAAACATAAAAATATGATTCTTTAACTTTGTGCAAAACTCGCGAACATTCAGTGAATTTTCATGAAAATTTTCAACTTTTTAATCAGATTTAGAATTTTTTTGAGTATGCCGATTTGTAGCCCAATCAATTTTATTATAATAATGTGCAAGTTTTAAGTAGCTCGGAATTACCGTTGATTTTTGGTAATTTTTTTTACGTAGTCTCTTCCATACAAAAAATTTTTTCCGAAAATACTTTATATGCAAAAACTGCGAAACACCTTCACCAAAAAAAAATTCTCAAAAATCAACGCGATTTTTGACTAACTCCGAACTAGCATTTTTTTGCTAGAATTTAATGGGCTGCAAAACTGCATACTCATCTGATTAAAAAGTTGAAAATTTTGATGAAAATTTGCCGAATTTTCGCGAGTTTTGCACAAAGTTTAGGAATTATATTTTTATGTTTTTTGTTGTTGAATGAACCATATTTTTATACAAAATTGGCGGGAAAATATTAGAATAAAAATTGTTGCATCTATTGAGAAAAAATTGCTGTGCCAATACTTTGTTCCGGCAGTGTACATAAAACTATTAAAAAATTGTATCAACGGAATCATAATAATGAGATTTTTGATGCTGTTTATAAACTTTTTTCAAAGATTTATTTAAGAAAAACTTGAAAACCTGCTCCAAAACTTTACCGATATAGACTTATAAGGTATCACAGGTATCACTTTCTCACCCTTTTTGTTTCTTTGCAAAAAAAACTCATTCACGTCCCAATTTTTTTGTTATTCAACCTGGAATGACACTCGTTTATCTTACCTCAATTTTTCATATTTTGAGTGAGCTCATTCGCAAAGAAATTAAAACGGTGAGAAAATGATACCTCATAAGTCTAAATGTGAAGGTTTTTGCTGAGTTATTTAAGTTTTTCTAAACCAGTCTTTGAAAAAAGTGCAAAAACAGCATCAAAAATCTCATTATTATGATTCCGTAGATTTTTTTTTATATTTTGATGAAAACTTTTTAAGCTTAAACAATGCACAATGCCGCTAAGTACATTTTAAAATTTTCAGGCAATAGCCTCATGCGATTATCGATTATATTTTTTGTTGTTTGTGTGAAATATTTTATTTTTATCAGTATTTTTCTTTTAATCAAAATATGTTTAAATAAAAGTGAAAAAAAAAAATTTGCCAGACCTCCCCTCCCCCCGAAAAAAAAATCCTGGCTACGGCCCTATACATATATGAGGACGTATTGAACATTTTGAGTATGCAGATTTTTTATGCTGGTATATTCATTTATGCTAAATATATTACTTGATTTTGTTTTGTCACACTTAAGAAGTAAACGTCTTGGCTGTTCACCCAACCGGTCTATAGTTTTATCAATAATCTCAGATTGGTTCTGTGATACAAAACTTTCGTTGTACACTTAGAAAAGACACAAACCTAAAGACAAAGTAATAAACAATTGAACTATTTTTGTTCATTGTCGACTGCAGCCAGGTTTTTACCCTTTTTAAATGGAAGTGCTTTGAAGTTAGAGAGAATAACTTGATACAGAAACGGATGATCCACATATCCACTTTTTAAATCAATTTACTAATTATTTTGTTAGCGTTGGGAGTATAATTTGTTATACAGTATATATATAGGAAAAACCTTAAAAGTTAGGGGGGGAGGGGCAGCCGAAATTATCAAGCAAGCATTTAGTGCCCCTACCTGGCTACGCCCATGCTTGCATCCAGAACTCTCTTGGCCCCCTTCGGAGTATTTAATATTCAAAGTACTGTCTTCGCTGATATCCAGAAGGTTTTCGAAAGCTTAATTTGTCATCTCAGTAGGTTTACTTTTCGGGTCACATGAAAACGGGTTTATTATCCAGCTAAAGACATCCTCAAATTCGATGTTGGGAAAATATTCGACAATGGTTTTTTCTAAACCTTCCAAGTTAAAGCTGGTAATGCGCGTTAAAGGTAAGAAAATAACTTTTACAACCAATTTCAAGAAAGTAATTTAAGTGAAAAATAATTTTAATTTTTGGAATTTTATATGGAAATTGACAGAAAAGNCAATTTACTAATTATTTTGTTAGCGTTGGGAGTATAATTTGTTATACAGTATATATATAGGAAAAACCTTAAAAGTTAGGGGGGGAGGGGCAGCCGAAATTATCAAGCAAGCATTTAGTGCCCCTACCTGGCTACGCCCATGCTTGCATCCAGAACTCTCTTGGCCCCCTTCGGAGTATTTAATATTCAAAGTACTGTCTTCGCTGATATCCAGAAGGTTTTCGAAAGCTTAATTTGTCATCTCAGTAGGTTTACTTTTCGGGTCACATGAAAACGGGTTTATTATCCAGCTAAAGACATCCTCAAATTCGATGTTGGGAAAATATTCGACAATGGTTTTTTCTAAACCTTCCAAGTTAAAGCTGGTAATGCGCGTTAAAGGTAAGAAAATAACTTTTACAACCAATTTCAAGAAAGTAATTTAAGTGAAAAATAATTTTAATTTTTGGAATTTTATATGGAAATTGACAGAAAAGAAAAAATCATTTTCCATTTAAATTGCTGGTGAAACCGGCTGTTATCAATTTTCTTGGCGTTAANTCGTGAGTTATTGATTGAACCTTATTTGAAATATTCCAATCATTTAAAACTGATTCGACAGTGGAAGCAATATTATCTGCATTTGGTCTTCCTGGAAGGACAAAAAATATTTAAGTAAAAGTAGATTTTCTATGGGTTTACATTAATACCTTCCAACTGCTTGTTACAAAGCGTAGCAGTGCACAAGTCGTATTTTGAGTTAAAATACTGAGCTTCTACTGATATATAAGAATCCAGCGTTCGAGAAGACCATTCATCCACAGAAATTGAAACACTTGATGCCTCCGCCAATTCATTGCATATATTGTCTTTGACGGATTTATATAATAGCTTCAAGCGAGAATGAATGCTTCTAACGCAGGGAACTTTGTAGCCGGGTTCTATCACTTTCATAAAATCTCTGAAGCCATCGGAAGACACAATTGAAAGCGGTAGCATGTTGGTTGAAATCAAACGTGCAACTGCTCGTGAAATTTCTTCTTGACGTTCGTGTGTAACGACGGCTGTGTCACCTTCTAGCCTCTTCTTCTTGGATTTGTTGGGCCTATCGCTTGAAATTTCACTGTGGAAAGCTTCGGCTGAATGTGCGCTAATTATTGAAATGTTATTGCGAAATATTTTAGAGACGATGGCTAAAGCAATACCTACCTCTCGTTTTCGCGATTTTTGTTATGGATTTTTGTTAAATGGTTGTTCAGTGAGGATGTGGAGGAGTTGTAGCACAAAACTGCACCACATATGGAACATGTTACTTCCTTTTCGTCCTCTGATTTTTCGAAAAAATCCCAAACCCAGCTCCTTTTGCGTCCGCTCATTTTTGTATCTGAATATACATACATATGTGTGCATGTATATATTTAAAAAAATTTTTTTTTCATTTGTCAAAGAAATTTCAATGAAAGTTCGGTTACTGAAATTCGATTTGCTACAATGCTCGAGTAGTCGAAGCAAAGCAACTATTCGAATAATCGAAGGCGGGCGACTATTCGAATACCATTAACCGACTAATAAGCTTGCGAACGGTTACGAATCGAATAATCGGTTAACCGATTAGTCGAATAGTCGGATAATTTTACGAGCCCTATTACATACGTTTTTCTGATTTACTTTGTTTATTTAGGGGGTTTTCATGCAAATTGCTAGAAATTCTAAAATATACATATCACCAATAAAAAAAATATCGACGAGCTAGAAAAAACCAGAGATGTATTTTAATTTCGCAGGCCTCTGTTATCTTCACAGCGTTATCCAATACGGGTTTTAAATTTAGTGGCGGCATCTTCCTAGTCGCCAGGGAATACCGAGGGATCATAAAGTGACTTCTCGTGGCGTTTTCTGCCCCTTGCTTCATCCTAGACATCGCTCCTTTCGTTTTTCCAGCCAATGCAAATATCCGCACACTTGCTCCATTTCAAACCATTGTTCTGTACAAATTTGTCGATACACTGAGGAAAAAAAAATTAGAATTACAAAAAACGTGCTAAATTAAAAAAAAATACGCATATCAAAGACCATCAACCCAACTCGTTTTAAATTTGAGTGTATGCGTTATAAACTATGTGGTTGTGAAGTGCACAGATGATTTTTCGTAATTGATGATGATTTTTCGTAACCTCAGCTACAGCCATACATGTAAATGTGTTTTCAAATGTTGAGTTTGAATCAACATCACAGCGCGCGATTAGTGCATTTGTACTAGAGATGGGCACGTGAGTAATTTTGGCTCACGTTCACGCACGCTCCCGTTGATGGTTTTTTAAATCACGCACACTCACGTCCTGCTATATTTTTTTCAACANGCTAGAAATTCTAAAATATACATATCACCAATAAAAAAAATATCGACGAGCTAGAAAAAACCAGAGATGTATTTTAATTTCGCAGGCCTCTGTTATCTTCACAGCGTTATCCAATACGGGTTTTAAATTTAGTGGCGGCATCTTCCTAGTCGCCAGGGAATACCGAGGGATCATAAAGTGACTTCTCGTGGCGTTTTCTGCCCCTTGCTTCATCCTAGACATCGCTCCTTTCGTTTTTCCAGCCAATGCAAATATCCGCACACTTGCTCCATTTCAAACCATTGTTCTGTACAAATTTGTCGATACACTGAGGAAAAAAAAATTAGAATTACAAAAAACGTGCTAAATTAAAAAAAAATACGCATATCAAAGACCATCAACCCAACTCGTTTTAAATTTGAGTGTATGCGTTATAAACTATGTGGTTGTGAAGTGCACAGATGATTTTTCGTAATTGATGATGATTTTTCGTAACCTCAGCTACAGCCATACATGTAAATGTGTTTTCAAATGTTGAGTTTGAATCAACATCACAGCGCGCGATTAGTGCATTTGTACTAGAGATGGGCACGTGAGTAATTTTGGCTCACGTTCACGCACGCTCCCGTTGATGGTTTTTTAAATCACGCACACTCACGTCCTGCTATATTTTTTTCAATCACGTTCACGCACGCTCACGACGCCTATTTTTTCAATCACGCACGCTCACGCACGGTTTCTCACGGACATTTAAACGCCTAGCAAGAGCTAAAGGCACTATTATTATTTTAACAAATTTCAGATATACATACATACTTATGTATCTATTACGAGTATAAAAAATAATTGGTATCAATATTTATTCAACGTATGTAATATTAAAATGGCATTAGCTCATATTTTTGTTTAAAAATAAAATTTTGTCGAGGTTTTCACCAAGCAGTCGTGTAAGTCTTTCTTCCAGAATTCTGCCTGACACAGAAAAAACTCTTTCACTAGTTGCTGAGCTAGCTGGTGTTTAAAATTTGCCTTGAAAGACTTCTAAGAAGGGGCAAATCTTTACCTTTCTCCCAAAATTTTAAAACATCGTCACAACTTTTGTTTTCCGATTTTTTCAAATAAATCTGTATTTCCGTATTAATTTCTTCAAAAACTGTTTCTGCAGATTCATTTGTCCCATCTTGGAATTGGTCAAAAGTTGCACGGGTTTTTGCCCTTTTCGAGGTAGAAGGAATGTGATCATCCAGAATTTGGGAATCGTGCTGAGGGCGAGCGCTCTTCTCTTCAAGTGCAGTCTACCTAAGTAAGAGTAGAATAGATGTGAAAATAGTAGCACTTTTCAGCTGTTCATCGGCGCCCTGATTCTATTTTGTTGCCAGCACAGCCCCCTCAGGATTTACTCTGTTAGGCGTTAGGAAAATGAATTCAAAGCAATTGCTTTGAAAAAGTCACCCAGTACTATCCCTGTTACTACACATACTTGAAAAACACTAACATGCAATTTCTTTAAAGTTTGCGTCTAACTGTAGGCAAACCGAAATACTGCAGATGTGCAAATGAATATTACAGAATGCCTCCAATTTCAAAGGAAAAAGAATAAATTTTGCCACTCTAGTGAAAGTTAAACAGTAAGTTTACGAATTTATTTTAGATTAAAATACAAATAAGTACATACATACATATGTGAAAATGACGTGATTGACGAAAATCTAACTCTCGCACACTCACGCACCCGAAAATTTCAGGCACGCACGAGCACGGATATTACGTGATTTTTCACTGAAAGCCGCTAACGCTCACGGGTGAAAAAGCGTGACACGACGTGCCACGTAGAAAAGCACGACTATTGCCCATCTCTAATTTGTACAGATAAACATGTACCATGTATGTGTGCATGTGTTGTCACCGCTGTGCATGCTCTGTGTATATATACTTTCTTAATTACATATTAAAAAGCATCCAAGACGTGCAATACACCATCCGTGCAGTAGTTCATTTTAATACGGACGTATTTAAATTGAATATTATCCATTATACGAGTGTATGTATGATGGAAACATTAAATTTTCACTTGATTTAAATACGAACATTTTTAAACGGTAATCAAATAAAAAATTTTCGTTTCTACAACGCATTTTTTTTCTCAAGTACTTCACTCATCAAAAGTTCTTCTTCGATTTGCATTGCGAATGGGTACCCCACTAACACGAGAAGACTAAGACCGCCTCTAAAATCGTGTTGATTAGCTCCTTCACAGTGTGATTGTGAAGTCCAAAGAATAATTAATATACACATGTGCGCGAAGCTCCTGCGCTTGTTACGAGAACAGCCCAGCCAGCAAAAAATCCGAAAATTAATCCGAAAACGCGAAGAAAAGTGGATGAAACGCGGATTCGGTCTACAAAAGTGCCAGAAGTGGTTGTGAAAAGGGTACGTTTTTGCTAATTTTTCTGAAAATTTTCTGATTCAATTTTACGTTGACAAAACGTACTGGGGAACTACGCTTAAGAGCGAAATATGTGTATGGGGTTTGACGAGATGCTGAAGGTAATTTTAATAAAAATCAAAATTTATTTTATTTTCTGGCCGCCATGTTGAAGTTTGATCAAACCGCTTGCGTTGTGTATGGAAACTCTAAAGAATTTGCTCGCACCACTAGTATACTCTAGTCACTAGCGGCACCCCAGGGTGCCGCGTCTCCCACTTTGGGAAAGCCTGCTCTAGATGACCTTGGCATGACCTCTAGATAAATTTGAGGAATGAAGTAACCCCGTTATTCCGTTGATTTAGTAAAGGCCCAAAGTCCCAAACGGAGAAAAAAGGCCCATATTTGGTTCAATTGTACCAAAGTGGCAACCGTGCACATAGCACACTATGCTTGTGTGTTTCATGTACTCATCAGCAACTCTGTACTACTCCTGCATGGAAAACTACCAGTTGTGAACCAGAATGCTACCAGTTTGCGTCTCATCCCAACTAGTTCACGTTTTATCCTTTTTCAATGTTAGCGACTGGTATTTTTAGCATGGCGGTGTCATAGGAGATGTCAATTATCCGCTCCTGCATCAGCACGCTACCTGTAGAAATACTAGTATCATCATACCAGTTGACGGTATAGACCACCAGAGTGTCCAGATTGTTTAAAAAAAGGCGCAATTTCTGAAAAAAAATCGCCAAAAATCGCTTATTTTTTTTTAAATAAAATTCATGAAATCGATTTAACAAATCTTTTATTTTAAAAATGAGATCTTGTTATAATATAGTTTTTAAAACCAAAAACGAATATAATACCTTTAACCCTTAATTAGGCGAATGGGGCAAGGTCAATTCAAGTTGAAAAAAAAATTTCTTGGAGTGCTTGGAGCGTGCTCGCGCTCTGTCTAGCTTCCTAACTCTCCGCGGGCTACGTAAATAAGTCACGGCCAGAACATCGGCGTGTACACATTTGTCGCTACTGTTTTAAGTCCTGACCCCATGCGACCACTTATGTAAAATTTTTTAGTTTTTATTTATGTATCTAAGTTTGAAGTCAAAGTTATGCCTTTCTTTCTTAAAGTTAACTATAGTAAAAAGCTTTAATATTTATGACAAAATACATTTCGTTTTATTTATTTAGTTACGGTTAGAACATCGTCGTGTACACATGTGGCGCTACTCGCTTGAGTGCTTACCCCATGCGCCTACTAACGTAACATTTTTTTGCGGAAGTAAGTTCTAAATTTTTTTTTAAGTTTGAAGTCGAAATTATGTTTTTCTTTTTTAAGTTAATAGAGTACTTTAATATTTTTGTTAATACACACTTCCTTTGTTTATTTTGAAAACTCTTTTTCAACACTTTTATTGGGGCACTGGGGACCCCATGCCTCTAATTGTGTGGTTTTCTTTATGCGCCTAATTAAGGGTTAATAATAAATAACACAAATCACTTATATAATAGTGATGTACAAAAAATTTTCTTTAAAAATACGCATACTTTTAAAAAATATTTGTTTCAACACATTTTACAATAGGACTCATATTAATTGATTAATCGCACAATCTACTTTTAAGAGCTCGGCGCTAAAAATTAAAAAACAACCTATAATAATGCGAGATCAGCTATTTCCACAATTTCTTTAAAATCACCTTTAGTGTCTGAATGATTTACATTTCTGTTGTTGTCATATATTGAGCTATTCAACCTTCATAACATACTGTTTGATATTGGAAACATTTTGCAGCAGAAACTA